GGAGGGAGGGACGGAGGGAGGGAGTTAGGGAGGGTTGTAAAAAAAGCACACGTACCATATCGATGCCCCAGCCACTTTCCTCTACGTACGTGAACGATGCCTGCCAATGATTGCCCTGTTTCTGGACACCGCAGACGCGCCCAGCTCGCCGGCGCCCTACTTCCACATGGGGGGCGACGAGGTGCACCTCGGCTGCTGGAACTCGTCGCGCGAGGTGGTGGACTACATGAGCAGCGCGCTCGCCCGGCCCAAGAGGCGCAAGGAGGACTTCATCGCGCTGTGGGGCCACTTCCAGGCGCGCGCCACGCAGGCGCTGGACCGCGCTCAGCAGGCGCTCAGCCAGACGCTCAGCCAGCCCAGCGAGTGAGTAGCAAATGGAGTGGATACTCTGCCGTGTACAGACTGTGGGTGGGTTTGAAGGGCCTTTCACATAAAACGTCACGCAATCTTTAGACAGTCCTCTAAAGACTGTCTCTACCAGAAGGAAAAGTCCTTCCCCCTTCGCTCTTCCTGTACGTAGCGCAGGTAGGCCGCACGGCGGCGGTGTTTGGGCAGGGCAGACCACGCGCCACCACGCCAGTATGGTGGGTTGCATACGCGCTGGCTCGCAGGCGCTGTGGGGAGCGCGCAGAATTTCGCGCATCCCCCGTGGTTCCACGGGAAGGCTCGCGGTTCCGCGGGGATGCGCGAAATCCTGTGCCCTCCCGACAGCGCCTGCGAGCCGGTGCTTATGCAACCCACCATACTTGCTTGTAAGAGCCGGGAGAGCCGAGACACCCGGTACGTAAAACTGAGAGGCTTTGTGGCCTTTCTTGTGTCTCTTTCATAGTCCTGTGGGCTAATTTTTATTGTGATTTTGACTCCGGCTCCCACATGTCACGTCGGGCGGCGACCGTAACCTGCCAATGCTTTCAGGATATGACGGTCCCGCCCCCCACCCTTTTAGACGCGTCACGTAATATGTTAACGACCCCTTGCCTCTTGCCTCTGGGCGTGCGGCGCTAGTGCTAGTGAGTCGCGCGAGATGCGGTTGCAGTCCAACTAGGAGTGTGGACAGGTGAGAGTTTCTCTGGGGGCTAGACGGATCAGGTAGTGACAACGCGTCAACGGCGTGTCTCAGGATCGCCACGGACGCCCCTATCCCGGACGTCGACGCGGAGGTGGAGGGAGACGGACAGGGCAACTCGGTGCTCCGCCGGCACGAGGCCCCGGACGCGCCAGCCTCCCCGTCGGGCCCCGGGGCCGCACCCGAGGACGACCTCGACGAGGAGCGCGCGGCCAAGGGCGGGTACGACGCCACCGGCACCACCGGCATGCCCGTGATCCTGTGGACGTCCGAGCTGACCGCCGCCAACGTGGTTGAGAAGTACCTGGACAAGGACAGGTGAGTTCTCTCCCGGGTTGAGGGTCACTGTGAAAAGTAACTGTCTTGACTGTCTTGTCGCGTGCCCAGGTACGTGATCCAGCTGTGGCTGCGAGCGGGCGATCCCCTCGCCAGGGACCTGGTCTCCAAGGGCTACCGAGTGATCGTATCAACGAAGGACGCCTGGTACTTGGATCACGGCTTTGGCAACTGGAAAGGCAACTCGACCTCGGGGTACGGCTACCACCCCTGGCAGGTATGTATGAATGTTCCTGTTCCCCCTATTGAGAGTTGTTAGAACAACCAAGGTCCCCACTCGAAGGGATACATCATCACTTCAGAAGGGGGTGTACTCCGACTAGTAGTAGTCGGATGACTGGAAATTACTGGAAAATGACTGGACGTGTCTTATAGTAAACTGACCGGAGTCTCTACAGGCGATTTACCCCCGTGGGTGGTGACTGGAAAACTACTGGAAAAGTAAATAATTGTCGCGACCGTGCACACTGTGACTGGTCAAAGTAATGTACCCCTCGTCCCTATTGCAACCCCAGGTGGCGTACGACAACGACCCGCTTTCCGGACTGGAGGGGCTGAGCGGTGCAGCCCGACAAGTGCTGGGCGGGGAGGCTGCCATGTGGGGCGAGCAGGCCGACCAGAGTGGCGCCAGCACCAAGGTGAGCGTAGCGTGAGCCTAACTGACAAGCGCACTCAGAGAAATGAGTTTTCGCATCTATGGCAAATCTAAATTGGGGTAGCCACACCCCAAAAAAGGAAGGTGCTTGAGTCAACTACTCATATCCTTGGATTGGAACAAGTCAATTTCTTAGCACAGGTCTAGGAAATTGACTTGTGCCAGGTATATTTACGTTGTTCAAAGGATATTTAGTTAAATCAAGAACCTCCTTGTTTGGGTGCAATGCTCTTGTACCCAGTGAGAAATATTTCCGACGACATCGTTCCGACATCATTTTTCATGTCGTTACGACGTAAGAGTGTACCTGAAATCGACGGCTTTTCGACCGTGGAACGTCGAAACGACATCGACTGTTGAAAAGCTGTCGATTTCAGGTGCACTTCTACGTCGTAACGACATGAAAAACAATATGTCGAAACGACATCGTTGGAAGAGAATTCTGACTAGGGTAGTCCCATTGCAGATTTGCTTGGTTCAAGAACCCATTGTCTGCGTGTGCGTGAGAGTAAGAGCGTAGGCGTGAACGCGAGGACGGGAGCGTGAGGAGTCGCTCTCGTTCGTTGGGGTGGAAACATGTGCTTTGAACGCTGTCTCCTCCTGTCCGTCCTCTCGTCAGACCTGGCCGCGGGCCGCCGCGGTGGCGGAGCGGCTGTGGTCCGGCTCAGCGGCCGGCACCTGGACGGCGGCGAGGATCCGATTCGTGCGTCACCGGGACAGGATGGCGCGGCTGGGCACGCCGTCGGAGGCCGTGCAGCCCGAGTGGTGCACCCATCACGAGGGCCAGTGCTACTGACACCCGGCTCACCTGCCTATGGTATAGGCCCTACAGATCTAGTCGCGCCGACACGGCGGCGGAGCCACCCGACGGCCTGGAACTGCTTTGATCTCACTAAGATGTAACGAACGCTGCGGTGTTTGTTTTTTTGTATTTTCTATACTATCGAAACTGTTATTTTTGTACAAATATCATAGAATAAACTTATGAGGTTAAAAGCGAATGTCATTGGATGAGAAAAGTACCAGTGACGGCTTCCTGATTGACCGCCTCCTATTCTTCTTTCGTCGGTAATAATAGTGTACCACAAGGGAGAAAGCGAGCAGGTTGCCTATCTACTCGGGGCAATGTGGCACCCCGCGGCAACCCGCTACTTGCGTGAAGATGGCTCACGAAAGGCGCACCATCCGGCGGCACAGGGGTCCCCTCCTCACCTCTCACCCGTGCGCCCGCCGAGTCGAGGATAGGCAAACCCGCAACACGGCGGCGCGTGCTCTGAATCACCCGTACATATTCAACTATGGGCATATATGTTCATATAAAAGTACATATATGGGCATATATAAGTGCATATATAGCCATATATGACTTTATATATGGTCATATCTGACCATATATCGTCATATCTAAGTATATAGGGGGTCCCATATATGATCATATCTGATCAAATAAAATCATATATGATTTCATATTAAATAATCATTTCATCCGGGACATTCCAGTGTGTGTGTTCCAGTAAATGTTCACTAAGTGAGCTCTCTAGTTTCACTCTGCGGGGTCATTGGGGTCAGACCCATAGTTTACTACGCTCGTGCAAATTAAAGATTTCAGTAAATTATGATAGTTTCCAATTTTTGGGGCTCGGAACCCTATCACGTGTTGGCTCCGGCTGGCTCATTTAAAATAAATTTTTCGAGGCATCTGATGGTCTATATTTGGATATATCCAAAAACGAAATTAAAGAGGTCCCAGCAATTATTCCACGAAAACGTATGTATGTCCCCACAAAATCGCACAGAAAGCATCAATTGGGGTGACATGTGTCCCACTTCACACTTTGTTATTCCAGAGCAATGTCGCCAGCACCAGCATGCCCGGCATAGCTGCAGACTGGACGCACAGCTCAAGATCTAAACTGGACAGGCGCTGAGTGGGCGAGGTGGGGTGTTTCAAACTTCAAACCGCAAGTTCGAGCGCAAGCTGCTTAGGGTTCCTGATCTCGGTTTTGGACCGAACGCGACCCGTTTCAAAGATAATTTGTCTACGTTGCAGACAAGCCGCGAGCAGCCCAAATCCAAGGTCGGGAACCCTAAGCAACTCAAGCTTTCTGCTCGAAACACCCTACCTGGCCGGCGGGCGGCGCTTAGGCGGCGGCGGGCACACTGGGCGCCCGCGAGGTAGGCATCCCATCGCGCGCCTGACGCACCGGGGACAAGGGAATAAAAGCGTCGGAGAAGCGGCCGCGGCGGTACGCACGCACCGAGCCGCCTACCGCGGGAGACGCTCAAGGGGCGCCCTAAAAATAAGCGCGACGCGGGGGATTGAACCCGCATTAAGGGGGTCCCTCCACAGGCGGGCGGCCTGGGGGAGACTGGGCGACACTCCGGAAGTGCAGGGGGAGGACGAAGGCTGCAACTCGGAAGTAGTGACTGGAGTTGTATTAGAGAGCCCCACGGAAGTGGTCTGCACCAGGCAACACAACACAGGTCCGAAAGAAACGAAAACATGAACAATAATTCTTGTGAACTGCGACAGGAACACGTGGTTTAAGGAAATAAAGATGCTTCAAAAAATGCTCCATCGAAAGATGGTCATTAATGTTGTTTATTGTACTGGCCACCAGAGCGGACACCGCAGTGCTGCGGGTTTGCCTGCTTCACCCGCCGGTTAGGCGCCATGGCCCATGCGACCCCCACGTCGATGTGCAGACCAGCAACAGTATCTGGAGTGGCAATTGGAGGTCGCACGGTAAGCCCGTCACCCCCTATATCAACTACCAAACCGCGGAAAAAATGGTGAGAACGTTGACAGAACGGTTTTCAACACCCGCCCTCCCTCCCTTCCAGCGCTGTGTGGATAGTATAAGCGACCAAAGGGTTCGTTGAGTTCCTTATTAAATCTCATTGCAGCAGTAAAGTATCGACGAGCTGCCTACGAGCATTCTGCGATGCGATCACCCAACTTCACACCACTAATGAAAGGAAAAACAATTTTGTCCCCATAAAGTGCCCCGAAGGGCCTGACACCAAACCCATACGATTGCGTAATGATTTGAAAGTAACGAAGCGGCGGCTTTCCAAGGCATTCCAAAT